CTGTCCCACCTTTTTTGGAATGTGTAGCTCTCATGAAATCCAAAATGAGCCAATATTTGGCATGACATTTCAAAATGTCTCACTTTCAACATTTGATATGTTATCTATATTCTATTGTGAATAAAATATAAGTTTATGAGATTTGTAAATTATTCCATTCCTTTTTTACTCACAATTTGTACAGTGTCCCAACTTTTTTGGAATTGGGTTTGTATATTGTAAAAGTATAGTGAAGTTACTATAGCAGACTTACCATTTTTCTTGGCGAAAAGTTCTGATGATAGAGCTGACAGTTGACCTTTGTAAGTTAGGCTGAACTAACTTGGCAGCCCCTGCCATGGTAAGGCCTCTGTTAACCACATGGTCAGCAATGATGAGATTAGAGATGATGGTGTGCTGTCTTCTACCTACATTTCTCTGAAGACCACCTCTTTGTTGAGGAGCACCAGCACCTCTTTGTCTTGGCCCACGTCCACCTCTCTGTTGAGGAGCACCACCACCTTTTTGTCTTGGCCCACATCCACCTCTCTGTTGAGGAGCACCACCACCTCTTTCTCTTGGTCCATGTCCACCTCTCTGTTGAGGAGCAACACCACCTCTTTCTTTTGATCCATGTCCACCTCTCTGTTGAGGAGCTCCACCACCTCTTTCTCTTTGTCCATGTCCACCTCTCTGTTGAGGAGCACCACCACCTCTTCAATGCAGGTTTCCTCTCTCTACAAGTCAAAAAACAGGTTTTATAAAGCATATTGCCCCCAGAATCCTATTTTATTATGTGCCATAGGACTTTTATTGATTATTGACTGAATTGTTTCATTATTTTATGTTTGTCTAATTAGTAATATACAGAATGGTGTAATGACTTGATTACTTAATTTTAGGGAATTAATTATTATTAATTCATTCAGGTTTTAAAAGGACTCAAATCTGAAAATTCTGAGTCAACCTGATTAAAGCTGAATTCAAATCTGACATCCTTATCCAATCACTATGTGGTCTTTCACTGATCGCTGTAATGAAATTAACTACTTTGTAAGGGAATTAATTATTATTAATTCATTCAGGTTTTAAAACGACTCGAATCTGAAAATTCTGAGTCAACCTGATTAAAGCTGAATTCAAATCTGACATCCTTATCCAATCACTATGTGGTCTTTCACTGATCGCTGTAATGAAATTAACTACTTTGTAAGGGAATTAATTATTATTAATTCATTCAGGTTTTAAAACGACTCGAATCTGAAAATTCTGAGTCAACCTGATTAAAGCTGAATTCAAATCTGACATAATTCATTCAGGTTTTAAAAGGACTCAAATCTGAAAATTAATCTTATTAATTTTGAGCAAAATAACAAGGATCTAGGCAGAGTTTTAACTTTAAAATTATATGACAAACAATGATTCGTTATCAATGAAACATGAATTTTATTGGCTATTCTAGATTACATCAAAACTAAGCTAAAACACACAT